CCAATATATTGCGTGTGTGTGTGTGGGTACATTCATCAAACTAACAAAAAAATTATTGTACCAAAGCATGGGTATATTTTTAAATTAAAAAAGGGTACATTTTTAACAAATTGGTATATTTAAGAATGGATACATATAAGATTAAAAAATTGAATTTTTTTTAATAAAAATTTAATGGTTATAAACTTAATCTAATTTTATTTTTTATATTTGGGATATGTTTGAATTGAAAATTAATTAGGAGTTTAATAAAGGTCTGAGCATTAAAACTCTAAATCAATTACTGATTTTTTTATAAAAATTATGTAACTTACATGTAATTCATTAATATATTAATGTTAGGAACTTTGATCAAAATCTAAAAACTGATAAGATATTAGTTAATTAATATTAGAAACTAAGGACTGGAAACTAATTTTTCCTTTTCTCAGATATTCCATATCCAAAATTGATGGAAGCCACTTAATTAATGCATTCTCTAAGCGTTAGTAAACTCAGAATTAGAAATCATACACATTCATTCCCACTCCCATGCATGGTAAGTAAACATGCTCTACAAGTTCAAATTGGTAGTCCCTACAAGCCACGTTGAGGCACGGCGTCCGTGCCCAAGGCCTGCTTGCGATGGCGGTTTAGGGCCCAGGGTTTAACTTGGGGTTGAGTCTGAATTCGCTCACTTCTTTTCATTGAACAATCCTAATTGCGCTGAAAAATTTCTCCTTGTAACATAATGTCGTCCCTCAATAAAATAAAATAAAAGAAAAAAGAAAAGTACCAATGAAGAACACAAGATAGACAAATTAGCCAATGCCTGATCCAAATTATTTATACAAAGCAGGGACCAGGACCATTATTTAGTTTGGCTTTGATCAAGTGTTATATTATTACAGAAACCCTAAATAATCGAACATACAATATTACTCAGAACTACAATTATTCAGATCATATCCTTTCAACTTTCCGCCTCGAACGGAAAGTTGTCCACTTATCATTATATCACATCAGTAAGTATACAGAAGCCACACACTGATGTACCTTAAGCAAACAAGCATACGTATTCAATACCTCGTACATACCAGAATGTTCCGCAAGAGAGTCCTACTGAGCTACCCGAAGATCGTGCATACAGCTGCTGTCTCCAATGAGTACCCATATACGGTTACAAAAAGAGCATTTATAGAGGTTGCGGTCGTGTCTGGACTATATAGATATCTTTGCCAACAAGACATCCTTCTATATCCTGCGGGGAGCCAAACTTCCTCTCAAGAAAGAATCCCACTGTACTGAGGCGCTGACCAAGCTGTTGACGGAAAATTGGATCAACAGTTAATGGTTTCTTGCTGTAGTCTACAGTCAAATGGATAACCTCCCCATCAGCAAGGACTGCACCCACTAGCTCCTCACTGAAATTCGCGAATGCCAGAGTTCGCACACTCCCATCAAATTTCCCAGACGATAAACGCCAGGGCGTGCCCCTAGTGCCTGAAGCCAAAGTTTCACCAAGGCCAGAAGCTATTTCAGCCTCAACAGAATTATGATCATGGTCCGTTGGGCTCACTGTATGAAGCACAAAGGATAAGTCTGGTGAAAGCATTTCTTGCACCAGAATTGCCATTTTAGCTTCCTTCTGAGGTACACCAGCAGCACGACGGCTCAAAACTGCCCTCCGAGTGTAAAGTGAAGCCCATACTCTGCTAATAGCATTTGCAAAGACTGTTGGATTTGAAACACTAACATTGGGAATTGAGTCATATAATCCAGCAGCTGACATTCCAGCCAAGTCCTCAACATTAGCACTTGAACGAACAATTAGGCGTGCATTTCCAGGAAATATTTTTCCTATGCTATCAATAATGTCTTTCGAGGGCTGTAGGGAAGAGACTAGTTCCTGGAGCTGACTACAAAGTTGTTCAAGCTCCCCACCTTCCAGCTTCTGTGTTTCCACCTTATCTAGTAACGACCTAAATAATTCGGTGGATTTGCTTTGTTCCAATGCCAATTCCATGGAGCCAAACGGTATAACTGCCCCCAAAGGGACTTTGAAGGACGCTGGTACCCCTTCGTCATTATAAACTGCCAATCAAAAACCACAAGACTCGGGTAAATGTAAAGGAACAAAAACATATGTAGGAAAATAGTGATATTTTTATTAGGCAATCCACAATCATCTCTCGTCCATTACATGCAAGTGGTTGTATGCACTAATTTTCTGCAGTACATTCTAATGCATACTGAAGATAACTAAGTTTACATATGCATATGGAAAATGATAAAAAATTAATTTTAAAATTTGACCAAGAAATCCATTACTCATCATCAATCAATTGTTACAAGTAGAAGCAAATCTTTTACTCATAAGGTCATTTGTTCAATGGATATGGTCATCTGTTTCCGTATGAGTGGCCGAATTTTAAGACACTTTTATTTCACAACATAATCATCTACTCGTTATCCAGTTTTCAAACAAGGGTCACCACCTATCCAATTGTTTAAGAACGAGTAGTTGTGTGTTCACCCAAGAAGTAATAAAATTTAGGCTTCTTTTTAGCAATGACAGTTGTACTCTTCGCCAAGTCTCACTTTACCCCCTACACTATTGTGTTTCACTTTCCCCCTTGCACTCATGTTTTGAGTCCCATTTTTACACTATTTCGTCAATTCCTGTCATCAAATAATAATAAAATTTATCCATTAAAATTCAAATACAATTAATAGATGCAAAATGATAATTAAACCCACATCTCTCCTCCCTACAGTCCCTTTCCTCTTTTCTCTCTCCTTTAGTCACCGTTTCATCATCTTCGATTCTTATTTCATCTTCTTCTTTACATTAACTTCTTCTTTACATTAAGCATTCTCATTTGTTAATATCAGCAACTTCTTTTGTTTAAGTAATAATTTTATTCTCCCTGTTTTATATAATATCAGGTTGTTGCGAATGCCAAGAGTATAGATGTCATCGTTGAAAGTCACTCCTAGAAGATTAATCATCTCATCTGATGGAAATGAAAGGGGAAGGCCTTGAAATCTTTTCCAAGAGAAAGAGAAAAAAAAATAAGAATCCTTTCCTTACTGTTGCTACACAAATTAAACAGTTTTGAAGAAAAATTAAATTAAGCATTTGACAGTGGTGAATAAGAAAGAGAACCAACAAAACTTTCAAGGGAAGTTGCTCATGTCTACACTTATCTACAAAATTTGCTCATATCTTTCCCCACAAATTTCCTTCTTAACTCTAAGAACCATATCAGATGGAAGAAGATGAAACGGTGATTGCAGAAGGAGAAAGAGAGAGGAAGTGTCTGGAGGGAGGAGAGATGTGGGATTTGAATTGTTTTTCATATTTTCCTTTTCATTTTTTTATTGTATTTGATTTTTAATGAAGAAATGTATCATAATATCCATGTCACGTCAGCAACTTAACAGTTTTGTTGACGAAATAGTGTAAATTGGGACACGAAGCAAGAGTGCAGGGGGTAAAGTAAGCCACACTAGAGTGTAGGACCAGTATATTAACCCATCAAATTTCAACAGCTCTATTCACCTGGAGCAATGTATGATGTGCAAAGACTAAATATAAGACTATTGCAACTGAACATGTCTTGTCGATGTATATCCGTAAGGTTCAGCACATACGGGTGAATAATGTTAGAGCACACTCAAGTGACACATAAAAACAGAGCCAGCAGTCAAATGCCAACTCATCAAGCCAAATTAGTTAGAGCTGTTGATTACAGCTGTCATAGTGGTTGTAACTAATTGTAAAGTTGTAGCTTCAACTTAAAGCAAGTGTATAAATATAAATGATGTAATCATTTAGCTTCAATTAAAAGTATTCTGAGATACATTAAGGTGACTATTGATCATGGAATATTGGAATGTGGTTTGAGAAGGGTTCTTCATTACTAAAGGCATTTTCAGATGCAGACTGGGCAGGGTGCCCTACATACAGCACCAGAACATCAACCAGCGGCTCTTGTGTTTTTCTGGTTAACAACCTTCTTACTTGGTCTGCAAAGAAAAAAATATAGTCGCTACAAGCTCTAAAGAAGATGAGTGCAGAAGTCATCCAACCACTGCTCCCGTGATCTATATCTGCAAGTTGTTTAGTGATATTAGTTATTTTCTAGCCAATCCTCCTATTTTCTAATGAACTGGTTGATCCCCGACCTCCATCGATATCTATAAACATTTATGTTTCAAATCTCAATGTTGGAGACCTTGATGGATTGAACAGGGGTTTTCAATAATCAGTGATGACGACTGCACTTGGTTGGAGAGGCCATCAATTTCTGGAGGAAGAGGTTGTTACAGCCTTGAGGGATTGTGAAAGGATAAGGTCCTCAGGATGTGACAGGTTCACCAATGAACTTTACAGAAGTGTTAGAGAGGTCTCAAAGATGATAGACTGCATTGCTTGCATGATTTTCAATGGGAATAGTATCGTTTCCACATAATCATCATAGTTTTATTTCCAAGAGGGAGTTACAGGTCGAACTACGGGAAAAGTGCTAGTTTTTAAGGTCTGAGGCAATGGAAATGGAATCTATGAGAATCAAATGCTTTCTTTAATTTTTCTTGTCTACAAGTAGGGGATGGTAGATGAATCAGGTTCCAGTTTCCTCATCGACTTGGTCAGACACCTCTCAAAGAAGCTTGACAGGGGCACAGGTGGTGATATTTCTCATGTGAATGCAATCCGTTTTTCTAAGTAAGATTGGGAAGTATAGATGTCAGTGCCAAACATACAACAGTGAAGATATCGATCGAGATGGATTTTTGAGCAACTAACATTCCCGCTACCATTGTCACTATATTTTCTTTGGTTGCTTCCTTGTTAAACTCGTAACATCTTGGAAGCTAGAGTAGCACCTTTGGCTTTCAGAAAAATCTTTATCAAAAAGAAAGAAAAAGTTCTAGACTAGTGATTCAAATCAAGGGCAATCATTTCAATTAGTTCAACTAGACTAGTGATCCCTAACGACCATAAAAAAAATTACCTTTCTCAGATTCTGCAGCCAAAGAAGCTAAACGACCACAAGCCGCAGCCTTTGCACCTGAAATCTCTGCATCTGCATCAGCAAGTAGTAAAACTCCTCCAGCGGAAACCCCCTAGATGATACAATTATTAATATATTCAGAAGCAACATAATTTCTGGTGATCAAAATCAATATCAATGAAAAAAAGCAAAAATTTGATTAACATTTTGGGATGAGAGATTAAAAGTAAACAAAATTTTACCTGATTGGAGTTGGCTTTAGTAGCAGACCATGAAGGACCATCACTTCCAATGTGCTTCAACCCTGGGTACACCATCACCTGAAAGATTCTCCACTGACAAATGGCCATTGCTATTTTCTGATGAAGGATATATATCAACACCTGATGAGGATGCTTCTAACCTGCAAAGTTCATATAAGTGAGAAATAAATAAATCAATGTCACGCCACTATTCTTATTTTCTAATGATTCATTCGCACTGTTTATATGATTTGATTAAAGGACTCCTCAAAAGTTTGGAAAAATAACCTCACACATTTCCCCTTGTGTTTTTGTATATCGGCAACTTTATCATCATCTTCACATGTCACGAGCACAACCTTCTCCTACATATCACCATCATAGTCTATTGATTAGAATTATATATTCATGTCAAAAAAATTTGATACCTTGACCTTTCAACAGACGACATACTTGTCGAGCTCTGACACCGAGATGAGATAAGTGAGGAAGTTCTTGCAGAAGTACAACTCCCACAATGTTACTCCCAGCAGCTGTAACCTGACAGATGAATTAGCTGTAAGAAAATGATGGTAACTAGATGCTATAACATTCTTATGGTTTGACGAAAACTATAAAAGTAAGCAGAATGAAAAACCTCTTCATCTCCATCTGCTCTGTTGACCACAAGAACAATTGGTCCTTCCACGGTTGATGGTATTGATCCAGGGACAATCCTCTCAACCTGAAGTTATAGCAGTATATTGTCAGGCGTAAATGCGAACCAAATAATTACAAGAAGGCAAATACTACTAATTACTTAATCCTTTGGTGTACATGTACATACATTGTATTTAATTCATATAACTTCTAAAAGTATCTATTTGACCTGATTAATATCTACCTACAATCTAAATGCTTTCCAAGTAAATCTATTTATTTCTACTCTTCGTTCCTCCAAATTTTGCTGATATTGATCTCTATATCTCTGTAACTTTTGAACTTTGACACAGTTCAATTTCAACATTTCACTTGGCTTATAAGTAAGTTTGAACTCCAAGAAAACATAGAACCTAAAATCTAAGTTCAGGGTGTATTTTTAACTACAAAGATTTTTTTTGGGGATAGAAAACATGAACATGATACTCAATTGTGATTTTATTTCACACTTAGGGGATCAAACATTGAGGGTACCAGAAGTAATGTTCCCACAGCAGCTCCTGGCACAATAACATCCCAACCTTGAGAACCAATGGTACTTCTAGCAGCTTTTAAAAGTAGGGTGCACAGTTTTGAGACCTGAAATATTACACTGCAGATAGCATTTGTAGGTGGAAAGTCAGACAGCAATAGTTCCATGTAGTCCGTTACTGTACAGTCTTAATACTGCTGTAAATGATGGTTTATGTCAAATGCCAATATATATATTTGAAAGGTAAACATACCCAGCACGAATCTCGGCTTCAGCATATGTCCTTACACTGTTCTCAGGGATCCCAAAAGCTTTTCCTAATATCTGCAAAAGTTACCAAAATTCCATTTTAAATTGGTCTAGAATTTTAGCACTTTTCTGATGATGATGAACTAAGTTAATTGGTACAAATAATCTGAACAGCCAAGAGAGAATGATAAGGCTCAAAGAAGATTTATCCAAGAATACCATATCATTGGCCCATAAAAGAAATATAGTATTTACAATACACACAGAACATTTGGCAAGTATGTTTCAAGAAATTCTTCAAACTAAAACCCTTGGGTTCAATTCTTTAAAACAAGAAATTGAAGGGTTAACCATCCACCAAGGAGATTCCATAATAGATCAAGCTTTGTTGAACCCAAGGCTATCTTTAGCCTCATCAACCATTTTTGCTTTTTGAAAATTAAAGGAAAGAAAAAATACCTGGACATTTTGGGGGAATATTTGAAGAAGTGCTTCAGAATATTCTTCAGTTAGCCTCCTGGCTCTATCAAGAGTAGCTTTAAGCCTTAGTGCCCAGACTCTTTTGCCATCTTCACTTCCTTTAAGAGTAGAACAGGAGGGGAAATTAAAAAAAGGTGGGTTGTTTAAACAGTATGCATTCCATGCACGGGCTAGTTACCTTCCTTTTCAGAAAGACCTCTTGCTTTCCATGCAACAAGCTCATTCTCAATAGCAGCACATTCTTCAGGCTTCCAACCAGATAAACTTAGCTGATGAATCCCGACAATAAGGGCATCAAGTGGACCATTCCAAGAGCTTATATCCTTTGATTTCACATTTTCTGCCAGCCAGTGTGCCCCTCCCAAAGCATCAAGCTCATTAAGGAATCTAACCAAATCAATGATTGTCCATAACAAAATTAATACCCAAAATCTTGATAATTGAAATATACTCAGACAGAAAGTTCAAAATATTTAAACAGTGGGGTCATGAGTTTTAGGTTGAACAGATTGCAGTGAACAATGTCATTCATGATGGTTCGTCTTTTTAACCGTTGTCATGCATAAATTTTACAACCAGCTGCTACTTGGAGTTTTAGATAACCGGTTGCTAAATCATAAATCAACACAGTGCTCCCCGCAAAATACTCACATTTTAAAATGATAATTACACAAGTGTCATTTTCTGCCACATAAGTTTATGATAGTACAGGGCTCCCCGCTAAATGCTCAACTGAAATATATCAGCATCGCTAGATTCAAAGTTTGTGCAATTTAAAGGACGCAAATCTGAACTATCATGAGGGGTCAATTCCTTAATTCAAGGGAGACACTGCTCAAATTGAAACTTTGAACACTACATAGACATAGGGGTTCAAGTTCAGGAGGGGTTAAATTTCCCATGTATTTATTCATGTGAAATGATAAAAACTAAAACAAAAATACTTAAACTGCATTTACAGCCAAAAATTATTTTCCTACCTGCTTAAAAGAATAAACGAATAGTCCTCAAGTCCAATCTCACAAAGGCGCCACTGATTTATTAATACAGAGATGAAGAACAGATAACCATTAGAAGAAAAATCATCAAACGGTGACCTCATTAATTGTTTCAGTTGAAGCTTTTGATTAATAATTAAAAAAAAAAAAAAGAAATATCACCTTCTGACGCATAGCCACTGCATTATCAGGAGCATCATTTCTAAGGCCACTTTCAAGACCCTTCGCAATTATTTCTCTAAGGGCACTCAAAGATTGCATGGTCTTGAACAACAGATCAGTGCCAATATTTCCCAAACCTTTATTTGACACTTCTAAAGTATCCAAACTCTGGAAATAAAACAAAAAATACGAATAAAAAAAAATTGATCTTGCAATTATGTCATCATAACCCAAACACCACTAAGAAATTAAACTGGAATTGGCAATACCAATGAAAAATAGTACAACAAAAATTACTAATCTATAGTAAACATCATCATGCATATAAATTGTGAACTTGTTGATTAGATGGAACCACAATTGTCATATCCTTCCTTTCAGAGGTAAAGTGAGGATATTTTTTTTTTTTTTTTTTTGCTTACGAATTAAATTATGTTACACTTCAGGAATAAAGTAAAAAACAAAATACGTAATGCAACCAAACAATAAATAAAAAATATATAAATGATTTAGATGTATATGCTCCTTAATGTGCTTAAAATTATTACCAAAAAGGGACTAAATCCAGCATCAAGTCTTCAAATGGACAAGGGAAGTGCCAAATTGACAACAGAATCAGTTCTTACCATATTAGAGTTTCTAACTGCTGGGAATGGAACGTTAAAGATTGCAAGAATAAAGAAAAGATTGACAACCAACTTTACATCAAGTTCCTTCATCTTGCATTCTTGAATGGGAAATTTTTCATATAGGAGTTATTTATGTAAGCTTGTTACTTTCAATGAAACTAGATGGATCACTCACACATGAGAAAAGAAAGTGGTAGATGGGGGTGAAAATGGGTGGGTGGGTATGAAATGTTGACCCTAGAATAAAATGGTATATGGATCACACATATATTAGTAATTTTTTTACTTCTTCAATACACCATTCCTAGAATGAAATGTTAACCCTAGCTGCCAGGAAAGATTGAACTCTATATTTATGAACCTCACAGTACAACAATAAGAAAATTTGGGCATGCAAGTTTTACGCCTGATAATTCGGGGTATAAAGTTTTGTGTATGAGCAATAGAGCACATGAACTAAATAAATAAACTGTATAATATTGGAACAACTGAACTTCACATATTCAGATCCAAAGGATCATCCTATGCCTTCCTTCACACAAAAAATTACTCCAATGCATAAAATTGAAGAAAACAAACCTTTTTGCACTCGAGAAACAATGCAAGAGCTGAACGGCCTTTATCATCAAATGAGTCTTTGAGGGATTCAAGTTGTTCGGCAAGGCTGCAATAGCACAAAATCAGAACCAATTGTCAGAGCACCAGCACTAAAATTCAAATTATAAATCAAAGAACATTACAAAACAAGAAAATTTAATAGAAGATCAAACACAGGAAACCAATCATTTTAATCATGAAGCTGAGAGGGGAGTGTGAGTTTACCACAATTATCCACATAAACAAGTGAGTTTATTTTGAACTTCAGGGAAATATTATGTTACAACAAAGGGAAAACTAATTTCTAAAAACATTGGTTAACTAGATGATATATTAAAAGCTTTTTGCATGTTATTTTAGTTTTAACTCCTAAATCCAGAAAGAATATGGTAATGCAAATGGTTGAAAAAAAAAATGGCTGGAGATTCATATGCTTAGCAGGTCCTCTTCAACTATTATATTTCACATCTTCCTGAAAGGAAAAGTCATGTTGAACTTTTGAGTACTACAGGTATAGGTGTCTCAGATAGTTAAGACAAACATTTTCCCTCACAGGATTTCTACACTTTATCCTTTCAGATCAAACAGATCTCTCGATATCATATCTACAACAATTTTCATATATTCAGTTGTAAGGCTCTATACAGTTCTCTTCTGTCTTCCTTTCTGATAACCTAATGGTAGTAAAGTAGGAATTCCACACACACAGTAGCATACAATTTATGTGAATTTTTAAAAAAAGAAACACGAACCCTGAGAGCAAATAGCAATTCAAGTTTTAAGAGGTTCAGCCACACTGCAGGGATTTTATTTTATTATCTTCTAAAAAAGTTGAAGTTCATGCAGAATAAACTAACTTCCATAAAATTTCTCCAAAATTTTTCTTTTATTGATTGAAGTAAATCTGGAGAAAAACTTGTTTCATGCCAAACCTTCCAGCATTGAAGAAGTCCTTGAGTTCATGATGGAATATCTTGAACTGCTCTACAAATGCTCCATTGTATTCTCCAGGGTTCTTGGTTATTCTTGCAAGCATTGCTTCTGTAGCAACTAGATCTTCAGGGCCGGCATTACGGTGAAGCTTGTTTTGAATTGTATGCTTAATTTCTTGCTGGAATTTACAAAATTGTTCAATATCAAAACATCACTGATTGAAATAGAAATAAATGCACCAAAATTCCCTGCAACGTATAACCTTGAGGTCATGAGGGATATCATTCCGATGGGCAATGTCTCTTATTCGTGTTAGGGGGACAGATGCAGTAAACTCTGCTTTGAAAGATGGCAGACATGGATGAATTTTGCGGATGACAAGTACTTCCTGGAGATCAGAAATAAAATTTTCAACTGAGAACCAGAAACCAATATAAGAAGTTATAATAGAAAAGGAAAAAATGCAGATATGATTGAATACACGGTAATGATCAAAGATTTTTTTTTTTTTTTTTTTTTTTTTTTGGTACTCTTGGACCAACAGTGATGTGAATTCCTAGTGATTCCATCTTCCGTCCAGTCTCTTTTTTTATTGAGAAAACACTGTGCTTTTTCCCAAAGGTAAAGGCCAAGTTAAGTGGTATCAGTCTATCAGAGTGTGGTGTCAATTTCGGGTTTGTTTCGTTGGAGAGAATTAGCAGGATGTTTTAGGAAAAGGTGGGGGTAAGTGAGTTTCTAGTGGGATAGAGTTTAGATTTTGCGCATTGATGCGGGCTCAAAATTTAACTACAATCCCTTTTCTTGAGTGCATTTCAGGGTTCCTTCAAGTTTATGCTTAGGAAGAGAGAAATGTAAATTTCTATTGCATTTGGTCATTTCTGCATATGACATATTCTTCCAATTTCTAAACTCTAATGCTAGATATAATTATTTGATGGACAACAAACATTAATATTTTTCATTTTCCTAAAACCAATCAAGTCCTAGCACACTTTTAAACAACCAACAGCATTAGCAGGTCATGGATTCTAGCCTCACTATTCACAAGTTTGAGCAATCAGAGAGAATTGGACTTATCAATTGATTATAAGATCATCTCTTGAGGACTTCACCAATCTATAAAAGTAACAAGGCAGTGCATCACTTCTTTACTTATGAGCACAAACTTGAGGTCCTAATTCCATGACATTTTGCACTAGCCTCGCCTTTTTCCCTCAACACAAAACTTCACTTATGTTTCTGGTTCTAAGAATCAATCATAAAAACCAAAATTTCCTAAGCTACCAAAGGGATTAAGACGACAGACAAATTATATGGGAAGATAAAGAAACAAACTGTTATGCACCCTATGAGTAAAAGAAAAAACTGGTTGCCAAAATATGGTAAGTGAAATTTCTTATTGATCAATATGCTGGAAGTGAGGGCCCATTTGGTGGGCTCGATGGGATTGGGCCTTAGGAATACAATTGGGTTGGCAGGGATGGGTTACATAGCCCATATGTGTGGTTGGGTTACATAACCCATCATATTTTCCCTTATTTCGGATTTGTAGCCAATCTAGTCCGTGTTACAATTTTTCTCACCAAACATTGGTTGGGCTACAAGTCCAATTTAATTGGAAATAACCCATCCCATCCAGCCCACCAAACGAGGCCAAGGTCCTTAGCTTCATGTATGATAACCAATCTTATCCTATACCCAATTTAGAGTACATTTGACATAGCTATGATGAGATTATTTTATACGTACCACAGAAGTCTAATCAATAAAATAAAATAAAATAAACCAACTAAAATCAATGGTCAGACCAAATCATGTCAAATAAGATGAAAGATCACCTGGGGTGAAGTATCTTTCTTACAGGAAATTCTTTCCAGTTCTCGAAATATAACCCTGGAAATCTCAGCATGTCGGTTTGGTCGATGATGACCTCCACCTTCAAAGCAAGGAATCTGGCCTGTATTTATCCACTGCATTACCAAGAAAATCTAAGAAACGCGAGAAAAACCCAAAATAAAAATGAAAGTCTAAAAGAAATAACGAGCAAAACCTTCAAATAAATGGCAGAATTTATGAGAGCATCCAACCGGTCCTCACTTTGCAAACTTCCAACAAGTAGATCACGTACAACTTCAAGCTTCAACATCAGAAGGTGTACATTAATGCTAAGAAAAAAAATGACGAAACTAAAAAGTACGACATATATGATGAAATTTGATTTAATTAAAATATAAACTGGAGCAACAAATTGTCTTTGTTAACAAGGTCTTTCCCATGAGGACTTCACATTATCTTTACTGACAATTAGTTAATAAAAACAACCCAAAGGCATAATTCCCTGTTTGAGTTCAGAAATAAAAAATCAAAACTTTCTGGACAATGTGTAAAACTTAAAAATACACAACACAGAAAAGGAAAAATAAGTATCCATAAAAAGATTGTTAATGTAAACGGTAACTAAAACAGTTGAGGCAACATTCTGAATAAATCTCATAGACTTTGAAAAAACAGATAACAGATAAAAGGCAATCAATCGAGGTACCTTTCTCCACCAATTCCTTGCATTTCGATCACCTTCAACTAACTTCAGAGCCAACCCTTCAAGACCAGAGGTGTCCCATTTTCCTCCTTCACGGTTCCCATGCTCATTTGACCGCATGAATGAGATGGCATTACCTTTCCATTCACCAACAAAAGTACTAGACTCCACCTCTTCAGCACCAACAGTATCAGCCACTGTAGAACCGTTCTGACCCACATCCTCCCCTTCCTCCGAAGAGGGTAAACCCACAGCCTCCGTAGTTGCATTCCAATGACAAACCATATCAAAACTTCCTCCTTTGGGAAGTTTCAAGACCCGATTGTGACCACCTTCCCAAAGCATACTCTTGTCTGCCCTTACAGTCAAAAACTTATACTCAACAGACTCACCCCCTTTGAACTCCAGTGTACATACCCATCCGCTCTCCGTCCAATTCATAGGCACCTTCTTCTTCCATGATCCCAATTCCTTCACTGAACCCAATATTGCAACACTCTCACCAAATTTAACTTGGTGATCCAATCGAATATTAAGCCGAACTTTCCCAGACTCGGACTTCATCATGTTGTCTTTCTCCTCGTCACTGCCAACCGAAAAAAAATAAATAAATAAATGAATAAAAAAAAAATAATAACAAAAACGACTTTATTTGGACTTTCCCTATTCCAATTCTCAAAGTCAAGGAACTAGACTTCAGTGCATGATTGTTAGTATATTTGGAGTAACACGGTTTCAAATGGCTCAATTATAATCTACGAAGCACATGAAGAACATAAATTAAAGCGTTTTCGCTAATTACACAAATTGATATCAGTTGAATTTGTAGTGGCGAAATCTATTCCGCATGGCATTCAGCCAAATAACTAACGTTTTAGCTAAAAAAAGGCAAGAATTAAGTGATCATTGAAACGAAAAAACATAATATACTTGTATAATTAGAAGGATCCACAAATCTCTGTTTGGCAACTGAGAAAATGCAAGAAAGTTAGGAACTTGCTCGAAAAACAGAGGGAATTAAGGAAATTAAACGGTAATAATCATACATGGATTGAGCGGAGGAAACACCACAAATGATCTGACAAGTGTTGAATTTGTGGTAGAGGGGACGAAAACCCCTCTTATGGGCGAAGAAGGGAACGACGGCAAGGCTTCCCAGGAATTGATGCCGAGGGTGGAGGCATCGGAGTTGCTTGCGACGGTGGAGTTGTGGCGCGGAAGAAGAGGTGTGCAGCGCATGCACGCAATCCATTCGACGAAATGCCAAACCAGAACCCACAAGCGACAAAGAGAGAGAGAGAGAGAGAGAGAGAGAGAGAGAGAGAGAGAGAGAGAGAGAGAGAGGGAGGGAGTGAGGTTTGGGTTTGGAAGCAGAGACGATGAGTCAGTCCAAATGAGATGAGGAGGAAGATTGGAGAAGTGTGAAGTGAGAGTACTTATTATTTTATTTTATTTTACTTGGGACACGTGGCAGCGAGCCAATCCAAATCCCCAAAATAGATCCTTTTGTCCGGGTCCTATACGCAAAGCTTTCCAAAAATTTATGGTCTCGGAAAACCACGAATTAAATTCAAAAGCACTTAAATGTTTTTTTGTAAAAAACGCTGGTATATATATGTCATAAGTATTTCAAATGTTTTTTTACTATTTACTCATAATTTTAATAAAGATTAATTCAAAGATATTTTTATAAAAGTGCATTCCATAAATATTATTATTAAAAGGAAAAACTCAAATTTGTAAGATATTTTTCAAAAAGGTAAGGCCGTTGTCTCCTAGCACATGATAAAGTTGACAAGATAGCGGACATAAAAATAAAAATAAAATATAAAAAGGAGGACAAGATAAATCACATCTGCATGCCCACATTAGTCATGTGCCCTGGTGAAAGTGTTCCAACGAAGTTAGCGGTATGAGTTAGGGGTGGAAAAAATCCCCAAAAATTCCGAACCAAAACAAAAAAATACTGATTTCAAATTGAAAATATCCCAAAGCGATTTTTCCAAAATTTTCGGTATGCTATACCGAAAAAATACCGAAATTTCGGTATAGGAATCGGGATTGTCTTCCCAATATTTCGGTATTCCCTTACAGAACCGAAATATATATTTTTAATTATTATATATATATATATATATAAATCATGTTGGCACAATAATGAAAAAATCATGTTACTTTATTTTTCATCCCTGCAACATAAAGATATGAAGGATTATGATATGTGTTATATGTCATTCTATTTCATTGATAGGAGTTACCTTTACTGGAAGTAACATAAACACCAGTGTAAAAGTTGTTGAAGAAAGTAGAGAACATAAACACCGGAAGTGTAATGAGTATTCCACAGAATCACAAAAGGTATATAACTTCTGGAATAGGTTTGCCTTCTAGTGTTTTCTTAAATGTTAAAACAATTTTGTTCTATAGGTTATAAACTTATAAATGCATCTCAGTACTAAAGAAGAAAATATCATATAAAACTTATCCGCGGTTGCATTGGTGGTTGTTTAAGAGTTTAATGTTGCCTACCGATATTGTTTGATCAATTCATGCATTATTCCTTCTACCTCCTCAACTTCATGCCAGGTAACTCGTCAAGAGTATGAAGTTGAAACTAGTAATGGAAGAACAATCACGAAACGAAGGAAAACAAGAAGCACAGTAATGTTTGAAGTATGTACCTGATTATTTAAGTGAAAATATAACAGGAATGGGAATTGGGAATACAGAATCACCAAAAGCCCAAAAATATTTCGGGATTCTTGATTGTCCCGAAATACCGAAACTATTTCGGGATTTTCGAAATTTTGGTTTGGGATCGATCTTAAAATTGGGAATACCGAAAATTTTGGTTTGGGAATCGGAACTAAAGTTTTGGTTCGGTATCCCATACCGAACCACCCCTAGTATGAGCTATTAAGTGAAGTCAACTATATAGATTATCGTTTTGTCTCAAGAACAATTATCTCGAGAGGTTGAACTCATGAAGGTGATGTTTAGTATGCTCGAGAGGTTTAATGGTGATAAATTGCATGTGATGAAGCTTGAAATTAATTGCATATAAAATGGTCAACAACAACAATAAAGTCTTATGCAATTATGTGAGGTTGGCTATATGAATCATAAAACGCCACTACGTTTAGTTTTGCGTCAAGTATTCCGTCAGCACCAAGTACTCCATTGCATTTTCTAACCGAATCATCTGTAAGTTTTTGGTTCACATGTCCAAAACAACTTAACCGATTTTCTATCATCTTATCTTCAATTGTGATCACTCTCACGTTACCTCGAATATCCTCGTTCTTAATCATATTCTTTCTCGTGTGCCCACAATTCAAAATATTCTATGGCGCAATTTCAGCGTAACATGAAATAAATGATTTCTTGACTTTGTAAACTCATACAACAATGAAATTTGCAAATAAAGTTATATAAATTCAGAAAGTAATGTACATACCATTTGACATAAACTACTGATTCCATCAAAGGTAAGGAAATAACAAAGAGCCATCACTCATTTTCTATGATGCTAGCCTTCATGCACGTGCAAAATGCATTTTTTGAATCACAGTGTGTTACTGTTTAGGCCCAAAATGTTATTGGGCCAAGCTTAGGTTCGGCCCAAAGCTTTTTCCGAGTGTATTATGTGGGCCGCCTGGTGGTCTCAGGCCGTTCAGTGAAGGTGGTCGAATCCTATCGCAAGAAGGAATAGTTCAGATGAGCAGAGGGGTCGAAGGAGTCCCGATACGATAAGGAAGCCTAGTGCAAAACGGATTCTCGACCGGCAATGAATACGGTCTTGAAAAGGGGGTAGGTTCAAAGTCCTAATAAGAGTAGGAGTGGTCGAGGTAGAATTGGAGCAGAATAAGAAGTCCTAATTCATATATAGTTTCAACTCGATCTGAAGGAGGATTTGTTGCTATAAATAGAGAGCAGAGTGCATCATTCAAGGGCCCTCTCCAATTCAACACATAATTGCTCTACGCAAACCTCTCAAACCACTTGAGATTTTTTATTTTCTTTTTTTGCCGACACATCTTCAGTTTGGATAAACAGTACTGTGGAGACAACCAGCGAACACGTTCAATTTAGATAAACAACATTGTTGCCGTAGAATCAACTGATTGCAAGGCACCTTCAGTTTGGATAAACAGCACTGCGTCGAGGCCGACTGGTTACCTATCCAAGTCTCGGTCGATAAGGGTTTCCGAATCCTTATTGGCAAATGTCATCTTATTAGCCTTCTCGGCGAGGTAAGGTATTACAAGTTACGACATTCGGCGCATTGAACACCGAGGGATTTTATGATTGGATACTCACAAATGAGTTTCAGAGTTCGGCATTCTAACCGCCGAACCACATTTACCATCAAGACATACATCACCTTTGAGTACTTATGTCCGTATAGTCTGGTGTCGATTCGACATGCTTATACTCTCACGAATATAATCACTGTAACTGAACCTGGCGTCGACGATTTGTGAACTTCGCAGAATTAGCAGCCTTGTCTTCAGGCTCGAGAATCCAAAGGTCGAGGTTTGTTCTTTCCTCGGCCGTAGTCGCGAGATCAAGAAGTCAGCAACGCGCTCAACGCAACATCAACAAATTGTACTCCTCGGCCGAGCTCGGCTGACGAGTTGGCACGCCTCGCATTCAACCGAATGACGTAGTTAGCTTATTAGTTACTCGACCTACGCGCCACGTAGGCTTTGTGATTTTTAGGGTCAACAGCTACTTACATGTTTTAAATGTATTTAGCGTAAATTGACAAAAGGAAAGTCAAATATTTGAAGTAAATGAATAATCTTATATAAAAGAAAACCCTCATAAACTAATTAAAACAGATGAATTCCCATAATAAAATCGATCTCTATAGAATTTACATTAAGAATAGAGAAAATAATATTTAATAAACAATTGATTGAATCACATTATTGCTAGCCCATTGTGAGGCTAAACCCATCCCCTCCTCCTTAGTATAGATAATATTGTTTGTTAAAAAAAAACAATCATTTGACAACTAATTTAATCACATAATTTTCTGCGTGTGAAAGACCTTTTTTATAACCGGCATTACACACCTCTTAAGAAGTTTTGAACGTGTTTAAAAATAGAGAAAATAATATTTAATAAACAACTGATTGAATCACATTATTACTAACCCATTGTGAGGCTAAGCGCACCCCCTCCCTCTTAGTGTAGATAATATCGTTTGTTAAAAAAAAAAAATCATTTGACAACTAATTTAATCACATTATTATCCGCGAAAGACTTTTATTTATAAACGGCATTACATGCCTCTTAAGATGTTTTGAATGTATTTAAAAATAGAGAAATTGAATCACATTATTACTAGCCTATTGTGAGACACTAATTAAAAAAAAGCACAAAAAAATTAATTATTAAAAAAATATTGTTAAAATGATGAAAATACCCCTGCCTTATTTGATGCATTATTTTGGTATGCCTTTGAAGTTTTTTGTCTTGGGGGCAATTAAAACAGCTAAATTCACATAATAAAATCAATCTTTATAGAATTTACATTAAGAATAGACAAAATAATATTTAATAAATAATTGATTGAATCACATTATTGCTAGTCCATTATGAGGTTAAGCCCACCCATCTCCCCCTTAGTGTAGATAATATCGTTTGTTAAAAAAAAAAAAAACAACCATTTGACAACTAATTTAATCACATTATTATCCGCGTGCGAAAGACCTTTTTTATAACCGGCATTACACGCCTCTTAAGATGTTTTGAATGTGTTTAAAAATAGAGAAAAATAATATTTAATAAACAACTGATTGAATCACATTATTGCTAACCCCTTGTGAGGCTAAGCCCACCCTCTCCCCTTAGTGTAGATAATATCGTTTGTCAAAAAAAAAAAAATCATTTGACAACTAATTTAATCACATTATTATTCACGAAAAACCTTTTTTTTATAACCGGCATTATACGCCTCTTAAGATATTTTGAACGAGTTTAAAAATAGAGAAATTGAATCACATTATTGGCACTAATTTTTTGTTTTTTTTAAAGCACAAAAAAAATTAATAATAAAAAAAAATACTGTTAAAATGACGAAAATGCCCTTGCCTTATTTGATGCATTATTTTGGGATACTTTTGAAGTTTTTTTTGCATTGGGGGCATTTTTGTCCACATATTTTTGTTGAAGCTTGGTGACACCAAAACCACTATTCACTTTTCCATTAGCTTTATATATAAGAAGATAACAAAAGGAACGTACGTTATTTATGAGAAATTTTATTTAAACCCATATAACTTCTTTTTACACCCAACTTAAATTTTAAATATTAATTGTCCTTTTGACCCTCTTGTACAATTACCATCAAGTATAAGATGAAATTAATAATAAAACTAAAAATGTCTCAATAAACCCAAACACTATAATTAAA